CCCAAGGGACGCAACTCTGCACAGCGAATCGCGGCGGCTTAGACGACTGGGCCACCCGTGCCCCCCGGATCCTACAGTAGTTGCTGTCGATCCAGTGCATCATATTTCGGATCAGCAAGGGCCACAACGGGGTGAATCAGGGTGAATTACGGGCTCTCATGATACCCTGCTTTCGGATCGGATTCCCCGGGTGCAGGCCCATCCACGGACCTCGGATACTACAGTATTTGCCACACCAACTAAGGAGATGGATATGATGTTATTACGTTACCTAACGTGAAGTTTGATCCACATGAAGGGAGTTTGGTCGTACATTCCCAGAATTCATTGGTTGGATGATGTGTTACTTACTTGGCATATTGGCAAAACATTGGGAGCTATTCACAAGCTGATACCGACAGCCAAGACCCCCGAGGAACCAGCAAGATCTTTTCCTGTGGAACTTGAAAAATACCTCCGGAGAGATGTTGTACGTTTTCACTGTCGCAATCTACTACTATTCACTCACTCAATCATCAGCTGGAAATAAATGTCATTAGAATATTGTTACAAGTTATACCGGGTTATGAATAGTATATCAAAAGAACATACACACACTATCTCAAATCTAAACATGTTAAATATGGTGTGAGACTAATCAGTTTTGAAAGTTTATGTGAGATCACTTTAATAACTCTGTTTAACCCAGCTCTATCACTTACTTTAAAATAGTTAAATCAGTACAAATAATATCCTCATACAGGACAATGATCTTCAGTACAAAGAAGACGCCATCCCATGAGTGAGTAAAAATTTAACGTCGCATCGGCATTATTCCAACCCATGAAAGCCTACACAAGACAAAGTTTATACCCCAACATACACCGCCGGCCATCTGACATGAGGCTTGAACCAATTCACTTGGCTGCAGGTGTGGGACTCATCTAAAACCAGACTTACCGTGTTGCTGTACAAGTTACCTCCCCTCCTACCTCTATACAGAAAGTAGGATTTACTTCCTTGTTACGTGGACAAGACAGACACTCCCCTGCACGTTCTTCACGTCTTACCAGGTAAACAATACAAATAACGATGACTGTGGCATAAACAACCTTCATTCGCTCACTTTTCTGTGTAGACAATATAGACACAAATTGATTTAAAACCTGGAGAATTTATATTAAAGGGTTTATACTTAGAAACAGAAAATACAACGCATCATTATATCAATAGTTGAGGGTTCCATTTGACAATCTAAACAACAAATTTTACAGTTCACACTGATTTTTATATGTAACCAATATAATTGATTATTATCACACAGGACAGTTATTTTCAGGATAAATGTTCGTGCCTTATTCTTCCCCGCCCTGAACGCAGGGAGGTTAATAGGTTAGAGTGTTTTTGACTGAAGGAGCGCGCTTTGATCTGGGCATGTCTTAACCTGCCACATTCTGTTTCGTAAGGGAGACAATGTATGCAATTTGTTAATTTTGTTAATTTAGGGGAAATGTATCTCGCTTAGCTAAATTTAACCGGTCTTTATTTTGTAAGAATAAGCTATTAAGTATTATCACCTTTAGCTATATCTTGGTGTCGAGTATCACGCACTGGCCTTGCAATGCTGTACTTCGTATCTTATTCAAGCTGTAAGCTGCCGCGGGTTTGTCGGGTGAGTGATCATCTCCCTTCCCCGAATGGCTCTATTGCGCACTACCGTTCAGTGTATGGTAAGTTATTCAGGCTGCCAGGGAGGCGGTCAGGTCAAGCATGCAGGTGACGTGCACTCAATCTATCTCTCTTCACAATGCTTTTGCAACTAATTGTTCAACACGATGAACACAAGGCTTCTATACAGTATGACTTTGTTCAATAAACAACACATGTCAAACAACTGGTTTGATATGAGAACTTCGTAATTATTTGTCTTGATAATGTCATGTATGGTGCTTGCTCTGTGTGCAAAGTTGAGCACAGTATTGTTTCAAGTAATTCACTGTGTGTAATGTATGATTCAAACCCTTTACAACTCTACATGGTCGGTTGCTTTGACATTGTGGTTAACTTCCGGCAGAGATGGTCAGTAGATTGCAATTATTTTCCTTAAAAATAATTCGTTGCATGATATATTCATCATGTTGGGTTCAACATCGTAACATTCTTCTAAACATACTTCAAATCTAAAACCGGAAGTAATCACAACACTAACCCTGCTAACCAAACGGAACCGTACACAACAGTAATGAATGAATGAGTGAGTTTGGTTTAACGCCGCTTTGGAAAGTATTCCAGCTATATCACGGCATATTAGCTTGATGTTGGAGGAAAGCCCGAAGTGATGCAGGTCTCACACGTTTACCACTTTGGTGAAACCCATGAGTACGGGTATGGTGCTGACAGACCTAGGAACATAAACCGGGATTCGAACACACTGTCACACCGAATATATTATGCTTAACACGCAAGCATCGAGTTCCTGTGAACTACGAATACGCGTACTTGTCTGTAACCACCAGCCCCCCCCCCCCCACACACACACATACACTCCTCTCCCAATTGATATATCTGAACTGTTGAAACAATTGAAACAATTTGAAACTTGAAAGTGTACGAACTTGTCTGCAACCGGAACTGGATCCATGTAATGTGAACAATACATTCCTGAAGTCATGTGACCCAGAACGAATAACAATGAAGCCACACCTCCGAGAGCTGTCAAATAGCGATATAAGTCTAGAAAGCTCCCTGTAAACATCGGTTGATAACAACCCTTGACTGTGATGGCATCATCACGCAACTTGATAATGTTAACAATCCGGTCGGAAAGAGCTCGGACCCCCAACCCTGGATCGCGAAGGCAATCGACGACTGTCAAAACATCTAAATGTAGACTGTAAACTGTAATATTTGATACGGACGACAAATCACTTGAGGCACCAAATCACCAGCACGCAAAGTCAGCGATCTAACCCACTCAGCCACCGAGGCTTCCGACCACTGGTAGTTTAGATCATGTACTTTGAGTACCCCCCTGACAAGTGTAAATTGGCACGGCTCCCATGGCCGAAAGCTATGAATACACAATGCCATTTAGAAAGTGGTCAAATGTAACTAATGTTATATTTGGGATAACATTAGTTACATGATCTAGATCTAGTACGTGATCTAGACTACCAGTTGTCGGACTTTCATTTTGTGGAAGCCTCGGTGGCTGAGTGGGTTAGATCGCTGACTTTGTGTGCTGGCGATTAGGTGCCTCACCCTGGCAGGTGTGGGTTCGAATCCCGGACGGGACTCAACCCCCCAAAAGTACTAGAATCTGTACTTTACTACGAAAGTGTTATCCCAAATATAACATAAGTTACATTTGACCACTTTCTAAATGGCATTGTGTATTCAAATCACTTGAGACTTGTGATAACTGTAACTCTAACGTGTATGCTTGAATAATTACGATATTGGAATATTCCGTCGAAATGAATGCTGAATGGATGTCCCAATCTCGGAATTGTCAGACGTCATCCGAACGTCGAGAAGAAGCCATCCGGATGTCCTCAAAGGTTAATAATCACTAATCCGCGATCAAATACTTAGAGAGCAGACCAAGTGTTAATATTGGCCATTTTAATTAACGTAAACATGACTGAAATGACTGACATGACTCAAGTTGGAATTTACAGTTTATTTGATTCTGTAACTTGGAAAAACACTGCTTAAATTAAGGTATGTCATCCTTGTAACGTGCAACATGATGCTGGTACCATGGTTGAAATTAGTGTGATGGCTATGAGTTTTGAATATCTGTTAACCTTGCCAGAACAGGAGGTTTTTTTTGTCTTCTACTTTTATATTGCATAAATATTCTGTAGGTACCACATGCAAATTACAATTTCTTATATCTTCTTGGTTACGCATGTGTGCTTTATGACAGTACAGGTACAAAATTTCTTTGCATCGTGTTGATTCTGTGGATCAAAGTTACCTTGTACACATACACTCATACCAATTCATTTAGACCTTAGACAAATCGTGTCTGACAAAACCGTTGAAGCACATCACTGAGCTCCAGGTGTGTGACTTGTTTCCACCCTGGTTATGCCGTCATACTTTGTTCCCCTTCCAAATTAGTACCTGTGGTTACCACTTGTGCCGCTACTACTACTACTACTACTACTACTACTACTCATACTACTACTACTACTACTACTACTACTACTACTACTACTACTACTACTTCTTCTCCCACTACTATTACTATTACTGGCCCATTTGCATTGCATGCTGACAAATACTTGAGTAATTGTTTCTTATAAGTATTCTGAACACTAAATGTGATTCTTAACCCAGAAGAAACCATCAAGCCATAGGTTAATGCCCCCCTGTGTTAGGGTGTAGTCACATTTAGTCATCACAGTCACCGAGTATGACCACCTGCTTCACCTTTAGCCTCCCAGCATGACGAGTAATAGAATGCTGGGACACTATTCTAACCCAGATCCCCACTGGGACTTGCCTGATTCTAATCTATCTCCTAAGGCATGGTTTGTTTGTTTCAGAGTCTCCTTCTTCATGTTCTTGGAATCTGAAATGCTTGTATCGAACAAACTACAGCTTTTGAAGGATGGAAACTGACAACAACGTGCCACAGGATGGCGCTGTGGCTAGACCATTCACAGATACTGTAGCTGCCACAGAGGGAAGTCAGCAACAGGGGAGACAACTCACTACAACATCAACACAAGATGGCGCTGCTGCTAGACCTTACACAGATTCTGTAGCTGCCACAGAGGAAAGTCAGCAACAGGGGAGACAACTCACTACAACATCAACACAAGATGGCGCTGTGGCTAGACCTTACACATATTCTGTAGCTGCCACAGAGGAAAGTCAGCAACAGGGGAGACAACTCACTACAACATCAACACAAGATGGCGCTGTGGCTAGACCTTACACATATACTGTAGCTGCCACAGAGGAAAGTCCGCAACAGGGGAGACAACTCACTACAACATCAACTCAAGATGGCGCTGTGGCTAGACCTTTCACTGATACTGTAGCTGCCACAGAGGAAAGTCAGCAACAGGGGAGACAACTCACTACAACATCAACTCAAGATGGCGCTGTGGCTAGACCTTACACATATTCTGTAGCTGCCACAGAGGGAAGTCATCAGCAGGGGAGACAACTCACTACAACATCAACACAAGATGGCGCTGTGGCTAGACCTTACACAGATTCTGTAGCTGCCACAGAGGGCAGTCATCAGCAGGGGAGACAACTCACTACAACATCAACACAAGATGGCGCTGTGGCTAGACCTTACACAGATTCTGTAGCTGCCACAGAGGGAAGTCATCAGCAGGGGAGACAACTCACTACAACATCAACACAAGATGGCGTTGTGCCTAGGCCTTACACAGATTCTGTAGCTGCCACAGAGGGACGTCAGCAGCAGGGGAGCCAACTCACTACAACATCAACTCAAGATGGCGCTGTGGTCGGACCTTCCACGAATACTGTAGATGTTGCAGAAGGAAGTCAGCAGCAGGGGAGACAACTCAATACATCAACACAAGATGACGCTGCGGCAAGACCATTCACAGATACTGTAGCTGCCACAGAGGGACGTCAGCAGCAGGGGAGACAACTCGCTACAACATCAACACAAGATGGCGCTGTGGCTAGACTTTTCACAGATACTGTAGCTGCCACAGAGGGAAGTCAGCAGCAGGGGCCACAGTCCATTTCCACAACAACCCACAACTACTTTGGTGAGGCTGTATGCAAAATCTGACTTAGTTTTCTTTTTGAGGAAAACAAAAGGAGGCAGGAGATCATCTAGGCACCATAATCAGTGTGTAGAGTTCCGTCCCATGGTTGTTGAAGAATCCTGTGATCTTTTGTTTAAATTTATATGTTGATTATGTTCCACGCTTTTTCAGAATCAGAACTGTACTTTTGGGTAAACATCTAAGACTTGCATCATTTCCCTCATTTAGTTGGCATCCCTTACTCACTCACTCACTCACTTCAGTGGAGAGCCTGCAGCATGTAAACAAAACAAAGAATCTGACTAGAAGATGTTTTATTTCAGTGGAATACACCCTAACTTCGTTCCTTTTTGCTCCAGGTTCTACAGTTTCACATTATGACCTGTCCAACTCCTCTAACGTGGCAATGGGGGATGGCAGACATCAAGGCTGTATATCTCAAGGTAGGAGAGGCAATGAAACAACCCATTGTAAAAAGCTTTACATTTTATTCAGAATTAAACTCATAACCTGAGATTTAGCAAACACGGAATAACAATTTAAGTTTTTAAATAGAAAAGGAAATATGATGTTCATATACGCATTATATTTGATGTCATTGTTTTCAGAGTGTCTCAGTGTTAGGATCAACCAGCTCAGTGATATGTTTGTGGAAACCCATGCTCTTGACAAAGCAAAAGAACTTCTGAAAAGACACAACCACGTGGCCATCTGCGGATCCCCTGGAGACGGGAAAACTAGTGCTGCTCTCAGGATCTGTGAAGCGTATATGAAGAAAAAGTATCAAGTATTGTTTGTTGAAAGTATTGAAGAGTTTGACAGTGATGTCGTCATTAAGCGAAAGTGTGACATGCTGCTGTGTTTGACGATGTCTTTGGCTCTGTTGCATTTCCAAGCTTGGAGAAGATACACAAAATGTTCAATGCCTTGGTTGATGTTTTACTGCGCTTTACAAGAGACAAGGAACTGAAAGCCAAGGAAAATCAACCCCAGAAGAAAATTAACAAAAGAAGGAAGAAGGAAGATGAGAAGCAATGTGAAGATGAAAAGACACCAGTGTGTAACTACAAGCTTCGCTTTATATTCACATCCAGAAGCTACAACTGGAATGAAGGATGTGCAAGACTACATCAATTCAAAGTAAATCTGTTTAAGCCTGAAACCATTGTTGATATGATCAAGACTTGTTTAACCACAGAAGAAAAGAAACATATTCTGACATTGTTCAGGAAATGCCAAATGTGCGATATCTCCAATAAGGACATGAAAACCATTATTCAGTTACAAGACAGCATGTTTGGATTTCCTCTGATCTGTAAACTGTATTGTACCAACCCAGCCTTCCAGATGCACAACATTATTGACTTCTTCCAGAAACCTGTGACCTACCTGAGAGGTGACCTTGACGCCATTGTCCGTGAAGGCAGCAGCAAGTCGGCAGCTCTAGTTCTCCTCGTCCTGTGTGGAGGGAAATTGAACCTTGCCTCTTTTAAGGGGAAGGAGAAGAGTCTCACTGATCTATTTCAGGCTGTAAAGGAGGATGTCGCGTGTTGCACTCGGACAGACATTGGCAGGGAGATCAGCAACTTTACTGGCACCTACTGTACAGTGGAGAATCATGTAGCCTCCTTCTCCCATCCATCCATCTATGATGCTGCAGCATGTGCCTTGGGGAATCTCAATGAAGATTTTTTACTGGAACATTGTTCCCTGCAGTTTTTATATGAAAGAGTGAGGCTGAACAAGGATGATCACCAGCAGACAACACACACCGATGATGTCACAAACATGATCTACATCACCTCAAGTCTCCACCCGTTAGTGATCAGCAGATTGGTGGAGGGTGTCCGAGAAGGATGCTTCAGATGGACAGTAGGCCACCCTGTATTCAGCAGTGCTCAAATAGTCTCCGACTTCTTGACACAGATGATGGCAGACTTGCCAGATGTTGTTCACAGGAAGGATAAGAGCTCAGGTGAATGTTTTCTATACTGGGTTTCACTGTCAACTAACCATTCACTGTTTGAACACACAGTGTCACTGATGTGTAGAGAGGGAAGCCTTTCACATTCTGTACTCGCTGACTTCTATGAGAGTATCATAGGCTGTACACAACATGGCAATCTTAGGCACCTGCAACATATTGCTGCTGTACTCAAACAACGTGGGGAATACGATGTAGACAGGAGGACAAGGGGAGAGAGGACTCCGCTGATGATTGTTGCTGAAGCAGGACAGTTAGGTGTGTTCAACTTCCTCCTCCAAGAAGGAGCTGATGTTTCAGCGACAGACAAAGATCGTTACAACTGTCTTCATCTTTCATGTAAATCAGGAAGCAAAGATATAGTAAATGTTATCATTGAGAAGTTTCAACACCTCATCAATAGTCTCGATAGTAAGGGAAACACCCCTGTTATGGTGTGTGCTGAGTCAGGGCAGGTTGAAATCCTCAAGTTCCTTGTTTCACACAAAGCAGATCTTACTCTCGTGAACGATGACAAGCTAAACGCTTTCCACATAGCATGTATCAACGACTATGTATCAGTTGTAGAGTATATGCTGATATGTGAACACATAACCATAGAAATGCGAGGAGGGTTGGGGTATCAATCAACAGTCATGATGGCAGCTGAAAGAGGACACTCTGATGTTTATAATCTTCATGTGTTGGAGGGAGCTGATCTGTCACTTACTGATAGATACAAAAGTGACTGCCTGATGTTGGCAAGTGAGGGAGGTAACGTGTCTATAGTGAAACACCTCCTGTCATTAAAAACATTTGACATCAACAGACAAGGGGGGTGGTCTAAACAAACAGCAGTTATGATGGCAGCTGCAAGAGGACAGTATGATGTTTATAATCTGCTTGTGTTGGAGGGAGCTGATTTGTCACTAACTGATGGAGAAAACAGGGACTGCCTGATGTTGGCAAGTGAGGGAGGTAACGTGTCTATAGTGAAACACCTCCTGTCCTTGAAAACATTTGACATCAACAGACAAGAGCTGTGTTCTAAAAAAACAGCAGTTATGATGGCAGCTGCAAGAGGACAGTATGATGTTTATAATCTTCATGTGTTGGAGGGAGCTGATCTGTCACTTACTGATTTATTCAACAGTGACTGCCTGATGTTGGCAAGTGAGGGAGGTAACGTGTCTATAGTGAAACACCTCCTGTCCTTGAAAACATTTGACATCAACAGACAAGAGCTGTGTTTAAAAAAAACAGCAGTTATGATCGCAGCTGAAAGAGAACACTATGATGTTTATAATCTTCTTGTGTTGGAGGGAGCTGATTTGTCACTAACTGCTGAATACAACATGGACTGCCTGATATTGGCATGTAAGGGAGGTAACGTGTTTATTGTGAAACACCTCCTGTCCTTGAAAACATTTGACATCAACAGAAGAGTGGGGTGGTCTAACCTAACAGCAGTTATGATGGCAGCTGCAAGAGGACAGTATGATGTTTATAATCTTCATGTGTTGGAGGGAGCTGATCTGTCACTAACTGGTCGAGATAACATGGACTGCCTGATGTTGGCATGTGAGGGAGGTAACGTGTCTATTGTGAAACACCTCCTGTCCTTGAAAACATTTGACATCAACAGACGAGGGGGGTCATGGAAACTAACAGCAGTTATGATGGCAGCTGAAGGAGGACACTATAATGTTTATAATCTTCTTGTGTTGGAGGGAGCTGATCTGTCACTAACTGGTCGAGATAACAAGGACTGCCTGATGTTGGCATGTGAGGGAGGTAACGTGTCTATAGTGAAACACCTCCTGTCCTTGAAAATATTTGACATCAACAGACGATGGGGGTTTTGGAATAAAACAGCAGTTATGATTGCAGCTGATTCAGGACACTCTGATGTTTATGACCTTCTTGTTTTCGAGGGAGCTGATCTGTCACTATCTGATGAAGACAACAATGAATGTGGACATGTGAGGGAAGCAGCGTGTCCATAGTGAATCACCTCATTTGGTTGAAACGTCTGGCCGAGGTGAATGAAAATTCAGCCATAAAAAGAACGAGTACATTACTGAATGAGTCAGTTTGACAAGGACCCAGTCACGGGAATAAACACTAAAGTTTATGACATGCTACCGGAGTCTGGAGTGCAATAATCACTACCCAAGACAGAAAAGAAACAAGCCATGGTTTTGGACAGAATGTGTTTTGAAGATATATATTTTTGTAAATTATACGCGTGTGTCCTTGTAATCATGAAGGATACTAAACCATCCGTAACCATGGAGATCCGTACCCAACGAAAATGGCTAACCCGTAACAAAAAGTCTCGCCAGATTCGTATCTGTTTTGGTGGTGTCATGTTTTATTTGGCTTGCCCGAACCCTTATTTGAAGGATCGGTATCCAGATTGGGATTACCCGTACCCATTTATGTTTTTAAAGCGAAATGCCCGAAACTGGATTGCTTTAACAGGTACAGAGCACGAAAACGTGTTTCTAATCATTTATTCAACAGTAAATTCTCATATATTCTGACCTGCACTTTCATAGCAATCTGTTCATTGCACTATAACATTTCCCAAATTCATTCTTTTTACATTTCAAACATTCGCCCGGTATACGTTTCTGAACGTTTTCATTATACAGTACAAACATTCATTCATTTTACGTTTGAAAATTCATTGATTTTACATTTCAAAAATTCATTCATTCATTGGTTAATGAACAATCAACCAATTCACTCGACCAATGTCCGTTGTTTGTCTTCAAGTGGCATTACTTGCTCAACTCAATCAATGTCCGTGGTTTGTCTTCAAGTGGCCTTACTTCCTCAACTCAATCAGTGTCCGTGGTTTGTCTTCAAGTGGCCTTACTTCCTCAACTCAATCAATGTCCGTGGTTTGTCTTCAAGTGGCCTTACTTCCTCAACTTGATCAATGTCCGTGGTTTGTCTTCAAGTGGCCTTACTTGCTCAACTCAATCAATGTCCGTGGTTTGTCTTCAAGTGGCCTTACTTCCTCAACTCAATCAATGTCCGTGGTTTGTCTTCAAGTGGCCTTACTTCCTCAACTCAATCAATGTCCGTGGTTTGTCTTCAAGTGGCCTTACTTCCTCAACTCAATCAATGTCCGTGGTTTGTCTTCAAGTGGCCTTACTTCCTCAACTTGATCAATGTCCGTGGTTTGTCTTCAAGTGGCCTTACTTCCTCAACTCAATCAATGTCCGTGGTTTGTCTTCAAGTGGCCTTTCTTCCTCAACTCAATCAATGTCTGAGGTTTGTCTTCAAGTGGCCTTACTTCCTCAACTCAATCAATGTCCGTGGTTTGTCTTCAAGTGGCCTTACTTCCTCAACTCAATCAATGTCCGTGGTTTGTCTTCAAGTGGCCTTACTTCCTCAACTCAATCAATGTCCGTGGTTTGTCTTCAAGTGGCCTTACTTCCTCAACTCAATCAATGTACGTGGTTTGTCTTCAAGTGGCCTTACTTCCTCAACTCAATCAATGTACGTGGTTTGTCTTCAAGTGGCCTTACTTCCTCAACTCGATCAATGTCCGTGGTTTGTCTTCAAGTGGCTTTACTTCCTCAACTCAATCAATGTCCGTGGTTTGTCTTCAAGTGGCCTTATTTGCTCAACTCAATCAATGTCTGTGGTTTGTCTTCAAACAATCAGTGTCCGTGGTTTGTCTTCAAGTGGCCTTAAGTGCTCAACTCAATCAATGTTTGAGGTTTGTCTTCAAGTGGCCTTAATTGCTCAACTCAATCAAAGTCTGTGGTTTGTGATATTAGTCCTCAAGTGGCCTCGTCACCTAGAGAGCTGCAGTCTGAAAGCTGATATCTCTCTCTGCTGGTATTTATACCGGCTTCTGAAAGGTTCGCCTAAATGGCCTGGCCGGGCCCGTGTGCGAAATACGCATCAGTCGGAAAGCGCACGTTAAATCTCCAAAGTAAGTAAGTAAGTAAGGTTTGCCTTGGTGTGACAAATCATATGTAGTTTCATTGGGTATGGATTCACCTTTTTGGGGGGAAGGAGTAATCAAGCTGATTAGGAACAAGTGGGTACGGGTTCTCCAACACTTGGTAACGAGTCATCCAGTTGATTAGGAACGAGTGGGTACGTGTTGTCCAACACTTGGGTACGAGTCATCCAGTTGATTAGGAACGAGTGGGTACGGCTTGTCCAACAGTTGGGTACGAGTCATCCAGTTGATTAGAAACGAGTGGGTACGGGTTGTCCAACACTTGGGTACGAGTCATTCAGTTGATTAGGAACAAGTGGATACGGCTTGTCCAACACTTGGGTTGAGTCATCCAGTTGATTAGGAACAAGTGTCTACGGGTATCGAACACTTCGGTACGAGTCATCCAGTTGATTAGGTACGAGTGTGTACGGGTTGTCCAACAGTTGGGTACGATTCATCCAGTTGATTAGGAACGAGTGGGTACGGGTATCCAACCCTTTGGTACGAGTCATCCAGTTGATTAGGTACGAGTGGGTACGGGTTGTCCAACACTTGGGTACGAGTCATCCAGTTGATTAGGAACGAGTGGGTACGGGTTGTCCAACACTTGGGTACGAGTCATCCAGTTGATTAGGAACAAGTGTCTACGGGTATCCAACACTTTGGTACGAGTCATCCAGTTGATTATGTACGAGTGGGTACGGGTTGTCCAACACTTGGGTACGTGTCATCCAGTTGATTAGGAACAAGTGGGTACGGCTTGCCCAACACTTGGGTACGAGTCATTCAGTTGATTAGGAACGAGTGGGTATGGGTATCCAACACTTTGGTACGAGTCATCTAGTTGATTAGGAACAAGTCGGGACGAGTCATCCAGTTGATTAGGAACAAGTCGGTACGGGTATCCAACACTTGGGTACGAGTCATCCAGTTGATTAGGAACGAGTGGGTACGGGTATCCAACACTTGGGTACGAGTCATCCAGTTTGATTAGGAACGAGTGGGTTCGGGTATCCAACACTTGGGTGCGAGTCATCCAGTTGATTAGGAACGAGTGGGTACGGGTATCCAACACTTGGGTACGAGTCATCCAGTTGATTAGGAACAAGTGGGTACGGGTATCCAACACTTGGGTACGAGTCATCCAGTTTGATTAGGTACGAATGGGTTCGGGTTGTCCAACACTTGAGTACGAGTCATCTAGTTTGATTAGGAACGAGTGGGTACAGCTTGTCCAACACTTGGGTACGAGTTATTCATTTGATTAGGATCGAGTGTGTACGGGTATCCAACACTTGGGTACGAGTCATCCAGTTGATTATGTACAAGTTGGTACGGCTCGTCCAACAGTTGGGTACGAGTCATCCAGTTGATTAGGAACGAGTGGGTACGGGTATCCAACACTTGGGTACGAATCATTCATTGGATTATGTACGAGTGGGTACGGGTTGTCCAACACTTGGGTACGTGTCATCCAGTTGATTAGGAATCAGTGGGTATGGCTTGCCCAACACTTGGGTACGAGTCATTCAGTTGATTAGGAACGAGTTGGTATGGGTATCCAACACTTGGGTACGAGTCATCCAGTTTGATTAGGTACGAATGGGTTCGGGTTGTCCAACACTTGAGTACGAGTCATCTAGTTTGATTAGGAACGAGTGGGTACGGCTTGTCCAACACTTGGGTACGAGTTATTCATTTGATTAGGAACGAGTGTGTACGGGTATCCAACACTTGGGTACGAGTCATCCAGTTGATTATGTACAAGTTGGTACGGCTCGTCCAACAGTTGGGTCCGAGTCATCCAGTTGATTAGGAACGAGTGGGTACGGGTATCCAACACTTGGGTACGAATCATTCATTTGATTAGGAACGAGTGGGTACGGGTTGTCCAACACTTGGGTACGTGTCATCCAGTTGATTAGGAACCAGTGGGTACGGGTATCCAACACTTTGGTACGAGTCATCCAGTTGATTATGTACGAGTGGGTACGGGTTGTCCAACACTTGGGTACGTGTCATCCAGTTGATTAGGAACAAGTGGGTACGGCTTGCCCAACACTTGGGTACGAGTCATTCAGTTGATTAGGAACGAGTGGGTATGGGTATCCAACACTTTGGTACGAGTCATCTAGTTGATTAGGAACAAGTCGGGACGAGTCATCCAGTTGATTAGGAACAAGTCGGTACGGGTATCCAACACTTGGGTACGAGTCATTCAGTTTATTATGTACAAGTGGGTACAGGTTGTCCAACACTTGGGTACGAGTCATCCAGTTGATTAGGAACAAGTCGGTACGGGTATCCAACACTTGGGTACGAGTCATCCAGTTGATTAGGAACGAGTGGGTACGGGTATCCAACACTTGGGTACGAGTCATCCAGTTTGATTAGGAACGAGTGGGTTCGGGTATCCAACACTTGGGTGCGAGTCATCCAGTTGATTAGGAACGAGTGGGTACGGGTATCCAACACTTGGGTACGAGTCATCCAGTTGATTAGGAACAAGTGGGTACGGGTATCCAACACTTGGGTACGAGTCATCCAGTTTGATTAGGTACGAATGGGTTCGGGTTGTCCAACACTTGAGTACGAGTCATCTAGTTTGATTAGGAACGAGTGGGTACAGCTTGTCCAACACTTGGGTACGAGTTATTCATTTGATTAGGATCGAGTGTGTACGGGTATCCAACACTTGGGTACGAGTCATCCAGTTGATTATGTACAAGTTGGTACGGCTCGTCCAACAGTTGGGTACGAGTCATCCAGTTGATTAGGAACGAGTGGGTACGGGTATCCAACACTTGGGTACGAATCATTCATTGGATTATGTACGAGTGGGTACGGGTTGTCCAACACTTGGGTACGTGTCATCCAGTTGATTAGGAATCAGTGGGTATGGCTTGCCCAACACTTGGGTACGAGTCATTCAGTTGATTAGGAACGAGTTGGTATGGGTATCCAACACTTGGGTACGAGTCATCCAGTTTGATTAGGTACGAATGGGTTCGGGTTGTCCAACACTTGAGTACGAGTCATCTAGTTTGATTAGGAACGAGTGGGTACGGCTTGTCCAACACTTGGGTACGAGTTATTCATTTGATTAGGAACGAGTGTGTACGGGTATCCAACACTTGGGTACGAGTCATCCAGTTGATTATGTACAAGTTCGTACGGCTCGTCCAACAGTTGGGTACGAGTCATCCAGTTGATTAGGAACGAGTGGGTACGGGTATCCAACACTTGGGTACGAATCATTCATTTGATTAGGAACGAGTGGGTACGGGTTGTCCAACACTTGGGTACGTGTCATCCAGTTGATTAGGAACCAGTGGGTACGGGTATCCAACACTTTGGTACGAGTCATCCAGTTGATTATGTACGAGTGGGTACGGGTTGTCCAACACTTGGGTACGTGTCATCCAGTTGATTAGGAACAAGTGGGTACGGCTTGCCCAACACTTGGGTACGAGTCATTCAGTTGATTAGGAACGAGTGGGTATGGGTATCCAACACTTTGGTACGAGTCATCTAGTTGATTAGGAACAAGTCGGGACGAGTCATCCAGTTGATTAGGAACAAGTCGGTACGGGTATCCAACACTTGGGTACGAGTCATTCAGTTTATTATGTACAAGTGGGTACAGGTTGTCCAACACTTGGGTACGAGTCATCCAGTTGATTAGAAACGAGTGGGTACGGGTATCCAACACTTGGGTACGAGTCATCCAGTTGATTAGGAACGAGTGGGTACGGGTATCCAACACTTGGGTACGAGTCATCCAGTTTGATTAGGAACGAGGAGGTTCGGGTATCCAACACTTGGGTCCGAGTCATCCAGTTGATTAGGAACGAGTGGGTACGGGTATCCAACACTTGGGTACGAGTCATCCAGTTGATTAGGAACAAGTGGGTACGGGTATCCAACACTTGGGTACGAGTCATCCAGTTTGATTAGGTACGAATGGGTTCGGGTTGTCCAACACTTGAGTACGAGTCATCTAGTTTGATTAGGAACGAGTGGGTACAGCTTGTCCAACACTTGGGTACGAGTTATTCATTTGATTAGGAACGAGTGTGTACGGGTATCCAACACTTGGGTACGAGTCATCCAGTTGATTATGTACAAGTTGGTACGGCTCGTCCAACAGTTGGGTACGAGTCATCCAGTTGATTAGGAACGAGTGGGTACGGGTATCCAACACTTGGGTACGAATCATTCATTTGATTAGGAACGAGTGGGTACGGGTTGTCCAACACTTGGGTACGTGTCATCCAGTTGATTAGGAACCAGTGGGTACGGGTATCCAACACTTTGGTACGAGTCATCCAGTTGATTATGTACGAGTGGGTACGGGTTGTCGAACACTTGGGTACGTGTCATCCAGTTGATTAGGAACAAGTGGGTACGGCTTGCCCAACACTTGGGTACGAGTCATTCAGTTGATTAGGAACGAGTGGGTATGGGTATCCAACACTTTGGTACGAGTCATCTAGTTGATTAGGAACAAGTCGGTACGAGTCATCCAGTTGATTAGGAACAAGTCGGGACGGGTATCCAACACTTGGGTACGAGTCATTCAGTTGATTATGTACAAGTGGGTACAGGTTGTCCAACACTTGGGTACGAGTCATCCAGTTGATTAGAAACGAGTGGGTACGGGTATCCAACACTTGGGTACGAGTCATCCAGTTGATTAGGAACGAGTGGGTACGGGTATCCAACACTTGGGTACGAGTCATCCAGTTTGATTAGGAACGAGTGGGTACGGGTATCCAACACTTGGGTACGAGTTATCCAGTTTGATTAGGAACCAGTGGGTACGGGTATCCAACACTTGGGTACAAGTCATCCAGTTGATTAGGAACAAGTGGGTACGGGTATCCAACAGTTGGGTACGAGTCATCCAGTTGATTAGGAACGAGTGGGTACGGGTATCCAACACTTGGGTACGAGTCATCTAGTTTGATTAGGAACAAGTGTGTACGGGTATCCAACACTTGGGTACGAGTCATCCAGTTAATTAGGAACGAGTGGGTTCGGGTATCCAACACTTGGGTCCGAGTCATCCAGTTGATTAGGAACGAGTGGGTACGGGTATCCAACACTTGGGTACGAGTCATCCAGTTTGATTAGGAACGA